ATGTGGGGCTCGATCCCAGGACCCTGGGATCATGACCTGAGCCGAAGGCAGATGCTTAACCGACTGAGCCACCCAGGCGTCCCAGCAGGTCACCTTTCTTTCTGCTCCTGGCCCTTACTCCCACCATTTGTTATCAGCTTCCCTTCCTCTGCAGGCTCTTCATCTTTGGGGGTATCCTCTACAGTCGATGCATGCATCTGCATCGCCATCTTAGTGACCTGGATCCTCTTCAGCTCCGGCCCTTCCCTTCATGGCCAGAAGTTTCTTCAGAGAATAGTTTATCCTTAGGGTCTGTGCACACCCGTCACTTTCCGACTTACAGGTGTCAGTCAGCTTCTCTCTTCCTTACCTGCTCGGGCCAAGAGCACGCTCACATTTTCCTAAAACTAGGTCCATCAGGCATTTTGTATTCCTGTATTCCACTCTCCGGGTCATTCAACAGCATCAGTCATTTCTTCTTGAAACTCAAAACCCTCTTCCAGATCGCCCACTCTGAGCAGTCTTCCTGCCACTGTTGTGCTGGTTTCCCCCGCTAGCCCTTTAGGTTGGGCGCCCCCGGGGGTTCTCCCAGGCCGTCCTCTGTAACCCCAATGTCCAGTCAGTCTTTTGCCCTGTTCCGGCTTTTCATGTTTCTGGTGGTCTGAGGATTCCCAGACTTTCTCCTCAACCAGGACTCTTCCCTTTGTGTGCCGTGTATCCACCAGCAAGTCCCCCGGGTACAAAATGTAACCCATCATCGTAATTGCCCCGCTTCCTTCACACACACGGACACATGCCTCATCCTGAGGGCTTTGTCCCTTACTCCTGTTAACAATGCCACTCTGTGTCCTGTTGTGTAATTCAGAGACCCTGGGATTCATCCAAGACTGTTTTCTCTCCCCATTCTTCCACCGCTTCAATCCACTGACACATCCCACGAGTTCTGTCAGAGATCTGTCTGTCCCTTTCTCCTCCTGTCTTGCCTCTGCCACACCAGCTGCCTGCTTCCAGCCTGCCTACTGTCAGAGTGCCCACTATAAAATGCAAATAAGGTCACAAAACGTGATTACTTGAACCGCTCATTGTGTCCCACTGCCTGTAGGATAAAGTCCACATTCCTTACCATGGTTTTTCCTGGCTGCTTGTTTGCCTGCCATGCCCTCATCCATCCCACCCCTACTCTTGGCCCAACCAAACATTTTGTAGTTTCTTTAATGCCATGTTGCATGCTGTTTGCTTTTTCTTGAAAATTCCTTTTACTCTGGGCTTCCTGATGAATCCCCAGCTACTCCAACAGGAGGATATGTGTGGCACATCATTTGAGAAGTCTTCTCTGGTCACCCCTCCGCCCCTGAAGAGCTGCTTGTGTCTCTATCTTCATAGCCCCCTGTATGCTGTACGAACCTCTGGTAAGGCATTGATTACTCTGAAATTTGTTTGGGTTTTACATTTCTTGTTCCTCTCCTTGACCATGAACTCCTCAAGGGCAGGTTCTCTGCCTTACTCACCTAGCACTGGAAACAGCAAGGCACTGGCTTCACTAAAGGTTGCATGCCTGGGTGAGTGGAGATTCTGACAGAGGCCAGCAAATCACCCACAGCCTTGTCCCAAGGCCGCTCTGCTTCTTGCCTTGCCCCCAGCTCCTTCAGTTACTTGACCCATTCTGCTGATTTTGTCACAGATTTCCCTGTCCTTTTTTGGGATGAGTCCGGAGAGCCAAATGGTAATTGTGGGGACACTTCTAGGTTTCCTTTTTATTTGAGCCTTGCCAGAGAAACTGTAGTTGAAGAGCCACGACTGCTCTTTATTTAGTGCCTCACAGCCTGGAGAATGTCCAGTGAGAAAGAGAAAGCACAGAAAGGTAGAACTTGTTATAAAGATGTATGTAGTCAAGCGGGGCTTGGGCCCGGGTCTTCTGAGTCCGGATCCTGTATTCCCTTGTATTATCATATGCAGCCTCAGATGCTTTTGTCAGCAGGTGATTTAGAGAATTGAAAAATCCCTCTTTCCGAGGGGGGTGGGCCCACACTGCTATTATCACCCTTATCTTGCCAGCAGAGAACTCATCTGTTTAACTGCTCTTTCCTTTGTTATTCCATGTGAACTATTCATTACAGTTGTCTTCTGGGAAGTTAGAGGCTTTGGACAAGTAAGAGTGAGTCAGAGAGAAATGTTGATGTGTAGGAAACGGAAAGAATGAACATGATGAGTTAAAATTCAAATATCGCATGATTCATTCAGTAGTCCTTGTTGAGCCACCTGTCTGCTGGGCACTGACCCGACTGTCATGGTCCCTGTTCATACGGGGGCCACAGGCAAGCGGGGGAGACAGGTGTGGATCAGACCTGCCTATAAAAGTGAATGAATTCTTGGGCGCCTGGGTGGCTCAGTTGTTTAAGCGACTGCCTTCAGCTCAGGTCATGATCCTGCAGTCCCGGGATCGAGTCCTGCATCGGGCTCCCTGCTCAGCGGGGCGTCTCCTTCTCCCTCTGACTCTCCCCCCTCTCATGCTCTCTATCATTATCTCTCTCAATAAATAAATAGAAATCTTAATAAAAAAAAGAAAAAAGATTCTCTCTCTCCCTTTAAAAAAAAAAAAAAAGTGAATGAATTCTAGATCAGGAGTCTCGGGAAGTGCTGCAAGCTAAAAAGGCCCGAGAGTCATTGGGGGACCTGAGGTTATAGCTGTGTGAGGTTATATCTGTGTTCCCCCTGCTGGGCCTCTGGCTTCCTCTGTGAGATGACTAAGGTTGAACCAGCCAGCTTCTTGTTAGTGCTTTCCAGCTTAGCACGTCTCTGTACTGCGATTTAATAAAGGCACTTTCCATAAGTCAGGAGGCAGAGAGCTGAAGGTACCATTCTTTTGTGTGAACTGATGATTGAGCAGTAACACTGTTTCATTTATTATCTCTGTAAGCAGAGAGGTCAGGCTCCAGATGTCCATATAGACTGCCATGGTCTGCTGAGAAAAGCACACTCTTAATCACAGCAATGCTTGGCGTTTTGGTGGACCGTTTTGCAACTGTAGATTATTCTGACATTTGAGGGATTGGGTTTTCTTCTGTGATCTTAAAAAATCATCTATCCCTTTGTCCCTAGTACCCATATTTGATATGTAAAATGGGAATCCTATTCCAAAACTTCTTAATAAATCCACCGAGGCACCTGTTCAGCAAGACAGCCCACATTAGTTGAGCATCTTCTATGTGCACGAGGCTGTTAGGCTGCAGTAGACACAGGAATAAGTCACCCTGCCCTCAAGGAATGTATGGTGTAGTGGCAGCAGACAGAACAGAGTGTCAGAGGTGCTGAGGGAGAGGTTTAGGTAGAGTTGGAAGTACAAAGATAAGAGTGGTTCATGCTGCTGGCCGGCGGAGGGAAAATCAAGGAGGGGCGGTATGGTCTAGGAAAAGAACGTTAGGTTTAGGGTCAGAAGACCTGGGTTTTCAGAATCTCAGTTCTCTGTATATTAGCGGTGTGACCCGGACTTCTCTGAGCCTGGGCGGCCCCATCCGTGTAAAGGAGATAATACCCCTCCTCAACACAGTTGGTGTGAATATGGGATCACATGCGTGTGTGCACGTGCACATGAATGATAAAGTTCCAGGTCTCTGAGCTCTAGGAGCAGGTTCATGTGCCTGAATAAAGGGGGTTTCAGGCCACTTGTAATTGCTAAGGCCATTTTTTATTCAAAATTAGATCTCAGATTAAACCACAGCAGGGACCAGCAACCTTTTGGAGGTAGTGCGCCAGCTTGGCATCCCGTGTTGTCCTGGCGGATCAGGTGTCTGTGCTCTCCTCCTGGGAGCAGTGGCAACTGTGGTGAAGCAGGAGGTGGCAAGGAATCTGTGGCCCCCGAAAACACGTCCTCACCTCGACTCCTGACTCTGGCAGCAGGTGTGGACTGAGTTGCCCTGCTCACGTGCGCCCTCGGGAATGGGGGAGTGGAGCAGAGGTGTGTCTTAACTCTGACCTTTCTCCCCTTCCTTCCTTGCACCAGATTTTATCATGTGGGCAACCTGCTGCAACTGGTTCTGCTTGGATGGACAGCCTGAGGAGGCCCCACCGGCCCAGGGAGCCAGGACGCAGGCCTATTCCAACCCTGGGTACAGCTCCTTCCCTTCCCCAACAGGCTCGGAACCAAGCTGCAAGGCTTGTGGGGCCCACTTCGCAAACACGGCCAGGAAGGTGAGTGTTGACTTCTTTTTTTTTTTTTTTTTTTAAAGATTTTATTTGTTTGACAGAGAGAGACAGAGCAGGAACACAAGCAGGGGGAGTGGGAGAGGGAGAAGCAGGCTCCCCGCCGAGCAGGGAGCCCGATGCGGGGCTCAATCCCAGGACCTGGGATCATGACCTGAGCCGAAGGCAGACGCTTAATGACTGAGCCACCCAGGCGCCCCAAGTGTTGACTTCTTGGCTTTGTTGGCCGGCTCAGCTGCTACAACCTCAGCCCTCGGGCAAGCCTGCTGACCCCTCCACAATGCCTGCCACCTTGCCTTTGCCTATGCGGTGCCGGTAACCCACACTGGATCCTTTCACAAAAGCATTACAGAAAAGCCACCCAAAAGCAAAGCATCTCAGCGTCAATTTGGACCCAGACAGGCCTGAATTCAGACCTCAGCTCTGCTGCTTACTAGCTGTATGACCTAACCTCTCTGGAGATTCTTTTCCCCCATCTCTAAAATGGGGGTACAGCTGTCGTGCCTATCTCACAGGGTCGTGAGAATAACATGAGCTGGGCTACCAAGGGCCCCAGCACTGTGCAGCATGCGGCAGACACTGGTGTCACTCCCTTCATTAGCTGTCGTTGTGAACGCCTGACTGCAGATTAGCTTGGTCTTCGTATCCCACGCGGTGCTGAGGACATCTCATGTACATCCAGACCCCAGCAGGACAAAGACTGGGGCTCCTTTCCTGTAGCGATTTCATGAGAAATGCTCGGCAGCCGTGTTTTCCAGATTAGTGAGCAGCAGGGGAAGTCACTGGCTGGGTGATGGCGTGTGGGTGGGGGCCATCCTGTGCCAGTGCCCAGAGGCAGCCCATTCTCCAATGGGGTCAAGTACGACCGGGGCTGAGGGTGAACCCTGACCTGCATTCTGCATTCTTCTGTAGAACAGAGACGTCTATAGCCCTGGATGTGAGGTTAAAGTGGCAGTGATGGGAAATTTGAGAGGAAAAGCTACTTTTAAAAATTGTTTTAGAGAGAGACAGCGAGAGAGGGAACATAAGCAGGGAGAGTGGGAGAGGGAGAAGCACGCTTCCTGCCGAGCAGGGAGCCTGATGCGGGACTTGATCCCAGGACCCTGGGATCATGACCTGAGCGGAAGGCAGACGCTTAACGACCGAGCCACCCAGGCGCCCTGAAAAGCTACTTTTTAAGCTATGTGCTGTATGCTAGGGACTGTTGTGAGCAATTTAGATCTTTTGGTTTCATTTAAGCCTCACAGTAACTCTATGGTAGAGGTTTTAGGGTCCCTAAACTCCCATTTTACATATGAGACACTGAGATTTAGAGTGTAACAGTTAAGAAAGAAACTGTATTTGTCAAGTTCCTGATAAATGGCATAAGAGAGATGGAAATACTCCTCCTTTTCCGGCTACATAGGTAGTGGCCCAAGATCACATGGTTATTAAATGGCAGAGCTAGGATTCAAACCCAGCTCTTTGAACTCTCAGGCTGTCTCCCAGAAGACATTCAGCATGTCCAGATTCCTGCAGCCTGCAGTGCTGACCACCCGCCCTTTTGTACCCGCAAGCTGAAGGAGGATTGGCATTTTGCCTGCGCCTCGCTGTAGTGCAGTGAGGCTGGGCACGTAGCAGAGCTTTGTCGTGATGCGCCTGGCTGCCCCGGTCACTGTGAGGACACCACCAGAGAGGCTGCTGCGGGTCGCAGGGGACTGTGGTACGGCAGGCTGCGATGCTGCTCCCTTTACACTGAGACTGGAAGGTTGAGTCTATAGACGGAGGCCGAAGCAGGGACTGGAAGGAGCTCGGTGCTGCATGGCCTCAGTCTTCTCAGGGATGGAGACAAGGAGGTGGCTTTGGGATCTGAGGTGAAATGGAAGGAGGCCCGGGGTGACTTGTCACATGCCCGGCACTGAGCTTGGCATTTCACGTGTCTTCTCTCTTTGAATCTTTAACAAAATATATACTATTATTTGTTCCCATTTTATAGATGAAAAAATTGCTCTATTTTTTTTTAAAGATTTATTTATTTATTTATTTGACAGACACAGCAAGAGAGGGAACACAAGCAGGGGGAGTGGGAGAGGGAGAAGCAGGCCTCCCGCTGAGCAGGGAGCCCGATGCGGGGCTCGACCCCAGGACCCTGGGATCATGACCTGAGCCGAAGGCAGACGCTTAATGACTGAGCCACCCAGGTGCCCCAGAAATTGCTCTATTTAAGGTGGTTGTTTCAAGGACTCCTCAGGTACATCTAGAGTCTGTTGGGTAGTCACAGATCTTGCTGTTTTCATTGTTTTACACTGAGAAATGCTAGGAACAACTGCTGGCCGAAGTGGCAGAGTAATTAGCACGAAAGGGCCTTTGTTTAAATGAGGCAGCGTGAATTTGCTGTAGGTTTGTTTGAAACTTTTTTTAAAAAATACCATTTATAGTCTGTGGAGTGGGGAACAGAGAAGGAGCAAAGAGGACAGTGATGGTGACCAGGCTCAGGGACCAGCATGCTAAGCATGTTGAAAAGCATGTTGGGGCGCCTGGGTGGCTCAGTCGTTAAGCGTCTGCCTTCGGCTCAGGTCATGATCCTGGGGTCCTGGGATCGAGCCCCACATCGGGCTCCCTGCTCCGTGGGAGGCCTGCTTCTCCCTCTCCCTCTGCCCCTGCTTGTGTTCCTGCACTCGCTGTCTCTCTGTCAAATAAATAAATAAAATCTTAGAAAGAAAGAAAGAGAGAGAAAGGAAGAAACAAAGAGAAAGAAAAAAAAGAGTGAGAGAAGGAGCCTAGAGGAAGGCCGGTGAGGAGGAGCCCTGCCTGGCCGAGGAGTCTGGGGAATGCGTGTGTGGCCGGGTAGGAAGAGGGAAGAGCAGAGGAGCAAGGGCGAGCAGGCCCCGGAGCATCCCTGAAGTTGGTGCGGCCATTTGCTGCTGGAGGTTTGCATGTCCTCTCGGTGTGTTTGCAAGCATGTTGGCTCCACTAATTCATCTTTCAGGCCCCCTGCTTCCTCAGTCGCGCGCGGTTTGCCTTAGTTGAGACGGACGAGTTTCCTTCGCTCATTCTGCCCGTCTGTGTTGATAGCCAGCTTCTCCTTTGTGAACTGGGCGTTCAGCCTGGAGCGCTGTCCTATTCTTAGAGGGCGTGTTTTGGATGCAGGCCGACTTCAGAGTCCCTGGTGAGCCAGGGGACGCGGAGAAGCTGGGGTGCCACCTTTGCATTCTGGTCTTGTCTCCAATAAGCCGTGCATGTTTGAAGAAAGAATAGAGAGTTGTTTAGATCTGGCTGATGGAGCATCTCAGGGCTTTTTAATTGTGTCAGGCTAGGTCTTGTCAGACTGCACGGACTTGAGTCACGTTCCATGTCCTACAGCGTCTGACACTGAAGCCTCTTCATTGCACTCTCAGTCATCCTAAACGCATTTCATTTCCCAACAGAAAAGCCTTTGATATAAAGGAACCCCCAAGACCCCGAAATGTCCATTTTCCACCTGAGCGGCTGCAGGTCCCAGAACCGTTAGGACGCTAGTGCAGCCCTGCGTCCTTTTAAGTCGGCCTCTGAGCGTGTTGTGGTCTGGCTGTAACTGTAGAGAGTGAGGGAGCTTGATATGCATCCTTTCGAAACGCCTTTCGGTATTCACAGTCACACGTGGGTGGTGAACGTTCTTCCCGTTTCCCCGTCGACACGCAGGACTCCTGGACAGAGCCGGGCACCACTGCCTCAGCTGTGGAGCCTTCGCCAGCCCTGCGCCGGAGTCCGATTTCGGTGATGAGAATCTCAGTCTCCCGGGAATTCTCGTTACTCTGCATTCAGTTTTCCCTACTTAGAAAAGAGGGAGCAGAAATAGGTTAATGCTCAAGTCACCAGAGGATGAAAAGTTCTTCATTTCTTTTTTTTTTTTTAATTATTTATTTATTTATTTGAGAGAGAGAGAGAGAGAAACAGCATGAGAGGGGATAGGGTCAGAGGGAGAAGCAGGCTCCCCGCTGAGCCGGGAGCCCGATGCGGGACTCGATCCTAGGACCCTGGGATCATGACCTGAGCCAAAGGCAGTCGCTTAACCAACTGAGCCACCCAGGCGCCCAAGTTCTTCATTTCTTTAAAGGACTGGTGAGTGTGCTCCCGGGATCATCCCAGTGTGCCCAGGAACTCCCTTTGCTGTGGGAGTGCAGCTGCGCTCGGCCGGAGCAGAGCTCAGTCCGATGTCACTGTGCGGGCTCAGGAGCGAGCGCTGGTGTGGTGTGGCGTGTGCTGTTGTGTGCCGACTGCGGGCTGAGACCTGTGCACGCACAAACCACGAGCTCCCTGATCGGCTCCAGAGGTTCCACCCCTTACCCGTCCCCGTAGCTGTCTGAGTGTGTCTTGGATACGCTGTTCTGTGCCACTGGATTCCCGGTGCTCTGAGTGGGCCTTCCTGGGGTGGGGGAGCCTGGGCACAGCCTCTGTGGATGGGGCACCGGGCGGGGGTTTGGCGATGGAGAGCCAGGCCCTGGACTGGGTCCTGCTGTCGGCTTGGACGGGGCCGAGTCAGGCAGCATGGCCTGGTGGGAAGGGCGTGACTGTGGGCATTCCACAGGGACAGGCTTTGAGCGTGAACCCCAGCTCTGCTGTTCCCTGCCCGCCCTTGAGTGCGATGCTTCATCTCTCTAAGGCCTTGCTTGCTTTGTCTGTGACATAGGGAGGTACATTAGTAATTATTAGTGATGTGGGGTTTTTTTTTTTTTTAAAGATTTTATTTATTTATTTTATTTGAGAGAGAGAATGACAGAGAGAGAGCACATGAGATGGGGGAGGGTCAGAGGGAGAAGCAGACTCCCTGCCGAGCAGGGAGCCCGATGCGGGACTCGATCCCGGGACTCCAGGATCATGACCTGAGCCGAAGGCAGTCGCTTAACCAACTGAGCCACCCAGGCGCCCCGATGTGGGTTTTTTTTTTAAGACGTTTTATTTTTTATTTGACAGAGATAAGAGTACAAGCAGTGGGGGAGGGGCAGGCAGAGGGAGAAGCAGGCTCCCTGCTCAGCAGAGAGCCCGATGCGGGGCTGGATCCCAGGAACCTCACCTGAGCCGAAGGCAGTCGCTTAACCGTCTGAGCCACCCAGGCGCCCCAGTGATGTATGTTAATACGTGATACAGTGATAGAGTAATACTTTGCGGGGTTGCTTTGAAAATTAAATGACAAGCTCTAGCACCTAGTAGCCTCTCACTAAATTTAATCAATAATATTAATAATAATCACCATCGTACTTATGCATTTGCTTTCTATTCTCAGCAATAAAGTAGAAAAAAATCATAGTTCAGGATTTGAATCCTGGCTCTCAAAATTAGCTCGTGTTTCCTAACAATAATAATTAAAAGAGTTAATACTTACCCTGAAGAATCATGTGTCACATACGCTAAATGCGTTGTCTCTTAACTGTGGGGCAATCCTGAGATGTAGGTACTGTCATCACCCCCATTTTACAGATGAGGGAACTGAGGGCCAGAGAGGCTAAGTTACACACCCAAGGTGACACCATAAGAAAATGGAGGAGGCAGACTAAATGAAAATGTGGGCTTTTTTGATTAGAATCGAAACCCTCTGTTTCTCTATCTGCAATGAAAAAAGTAAGTCTCAACTGGAATAATGAATGTAGTATCCTGGATGTGGGCACACAGGTGCCTACGGGGGGGGGTGTGCCACCTCTGAGTGGTGCTTACTGAAATCAAGGTAGCTTGCACTCTGACGTAAGGAGGTAGCTTCGTACCGGCAGGAGTGATCAGGGGAGTCCCGCTCGGCATGGCGGCCCTGAGCCCCCCTCCCACTGTCTTGTTCTCAGTCTGACATGGTTCCCTCTGCCTCTTGGTCTAAGCAGCAGACCTGCCTGGACTGCAAGAAGAATTTCTGCATGACCTGTTCAAGCCAAGTGGGGAACGGTCCCCACCTCTGCCTCCTCTGCCAGCGGGTCCGAGCCACAGCCTTTCGGCGGGAGGAGCTCATGAAGATGAAGGTGAAGGACCTGAGGGACTATCTCAGCCTCCATGACATCTCTACCGAAGTGTGCCGAGAGAAAGAGGAGCTGGTGCTCTTGGTGCTTGACCAGCAGGAGGGCAGGACTCACGCCCCCCCCTTGTCCCCGGACTTCCCCGAGCAGCAGGCCTTCCTGGCCCAGCCTCATGCCGGCACAGTACCTCCTACCTCGGCGAGCCTCCCCTCTTCGCCCACACAAGCCACGTCTGTGTCCCCGGCCCCGGCTCAGGAAAGCCAGCAGGTACGCGTCGGGTTTGCGGCCCCTGCCCGTGTCTGCCGCTTTGTGGGCTCAGTCTGCTCCCCTGCCTGCACTGCGTGGGGGGGGGGGTGGTAGGATCAGGGGAGGCCCTTCTGCCTACTGCTGCAGGGATGTTTTCTGGACCTCAGACTCCTGTTTGGGTTTTTTTCAGAGGTGATCATGCATGGTACCAGGTATTTTTGATGTTTTTAATACATACCTATCCCAGCTAGTCATTTTTGAAAAACTCGTTCCAGAAACATTTTAAGAAAACTCACTGTTAACTCTCTAAATTTCGTTCTGTTTAGACTGCCCTCCTGCTTACCTTTGTTAAGGTCTTCTTAGCGGGTAGGGAACCATCACAGGGCGCAGAGGGAAAGGCACATGTCGACGGAAGGGGGGGCGGTCACGGCTTCTGTGGCCAGTCACCGCTTGGGCCAGGTCATGGTTGGCACGTTCTCAAACCGGAAGTTGCCTTGTCATCGTCCTGGGGTGGGGGGGCGCTCAGAAATGGTCAGCGAAGAGCGGCCCGTTGGCTGGGCTGCGGACTGCGCAGGGGCCGTGCAGAATGGCGGGTGCCCTCAGAAGGCCCCCGCGGGAGCGGGGTAGACGGGCAAAGCAGCTTTTGGGCTCCGGTGAGCCCGGGAGACGGAACCAGTGCGTGAGGGCTGATGGCATCCCATAGATAAGACTTCAGTGCCTCAGTGACCCTTTGGTGTATGTGGCTTGGGCCGTAGCTGGGGCATTCGGACCAATCTGTCGCTGACTCTTTGGTCACCTCGGGCAAAATTCGAGCCTTCAGCAGTGAAATGGGGCTAGTAATCCCAGGGCACTATGGCTCCTGGCAGGCTGTTGGGGGGACCGGCTGGCGTGACAGCAGCTCTGAAGAGCTGGGAGCTCCGTCCGGCTGGCGCAGCACCAGCGTTGTGTGCGGCGTGGCTGGCTGCCACCTCCGGTGTGCGAGCACCGGGCCCCTGATTCAGCTCTGGCGGGCACCGGGGCATAAAGGCCGGGCCGCACTCCGCTCCCCTGGCGGCCCGAGGCGAGCTCTGCCCGGCGTCCGCCTCCCACGCGGGCTCCTCCCTCGGCTCGGTGGAGCACTCCTCTCTGTCTGAGGGGGCCCAGGGCATAACTGGAGGGAATTGTTTTTCCCTGAAGAACCTTCAGGTGGATTTTGCAATGAAAGCAGGGGGTTCTAAATTTCCTGTCGTTAACCAGAAATTCCAGACTTCAGCTGCGGGTCCCACGCAGGCGCCAGATCTCATTGGGTCCTTTGTGTCAGCTCGCATCCCCTGTCCCGGTGAGATCTGCGTTTGTCAAGCCAGGAGAACAGACGTGGGGAAGTCAAGTGACTTGTGCAGGCTACCCGCACCTAGGATGCCGATCTGCCCGGGGTGCCTGCCCCCCAGAGTTCTTGCCCTTTACCCCTAGTGCCCTGGCAGTGGTTGCTGGGGAAAGAAGTGGGTGGAGGAAGCAAGATGGTGGACAGATACGATTTAAGAGATTTTAATTTAGCCAGTAGGCAAACTGAAGAGACAAGAGCATGCTTTGCAGTGGGACCTCCAGTTTCTCTTCCTAGGAAAAAAAAAAAGGACATACAGAAGCCCTTCTTTAGGAACAGGTTAGGCTTGGAGAGACTTTGTAACTCCAAGGTAACACCAGGAGACTGGTGGGTGCCACATTTCCATAAAGCTAAGGGGAGATGGTGTGGGATGCATCCCCGTACACGTATGCTGTATGCGTGCTCCTCTGACCACTTGGCATTTTGGATGATGGTGGTGATTTCTCCTTTCATCTCCATTATAGTTATTTGCCTCTTAACCAACTCTGTGTTAGGCATTCTAATCTGGAATGAGTGGTTGGGGCCATGGGTGACTGGTTTCCTGGGACTGTTCCCTTTATTGGAGTTCTGAGAGTCTAGAGGAAAGGCCTGTGAGCTCAGACACGTCTTTGCTCCGGGCTCATACCAGGCCCTTTGCCTGGAGGGAGCAGTCGGTGAAGAGTGTCTGGTGAAGGGGTTTGTGGCTTAAAGGGTGATGGGACGAGGAGGCTCACAGTTTGAACTACTGTTTGGCAAAACCTTTTGAGAAGTTAGAATTCCAAACTCCTTAAGCATAGATGTCTGTCTTTATAGTTTTAGGCTAATAGATGCTTAGGTGCGTTAAAATAATTTTTGACCAGGCTTCAAGATAGTTCTTAGTACTAGTGAGCGCTGCTGGTTGGAGCCCATTTCTAGAATGGTGGAGCAGTGACTGGATAGAGTGGTGAGGGACTAAGAACTGTTTCCTCTGTCAGAGGAGGAAGCCAGGGAGATGTAGCGTGGAGGCAGGAAGACATGGTATGAACTTTCTGTAAGAAAGCGGTGCCCATTGCTGCTCGGGACAGAGCCCAGAACGGTGGGTGGGAGTGAACGGGGAGGGCGGTGTGGGCTCAGTGTCCAGGAGAGACCGGATGGCAGTTAGAGAGCAGTCCCGCAGTGGCGTGGACTTGTGCTCTTCCTCGCGTTCGGACTGTTCGAGCTGAGACCACACTGACGGTGAGTGGCCGCTCATGCCATCCTGGTGGGGAGCAGAATTAGCGACCTTCTCGTTTTGGAGTTGAAATCTGTTTGTGTCATGTCTCTGCCCGACAAAGTCGGTACTAGGGAGCAGGCTTCTGTAATGCTATTGTTCGAGACACCATGTTCCTGGGGAGATGGGAACATGTTTGGATGTGGAATGAGCTGGGAAGAGGCCCGCATCTCTGTGCGTGTGATGGCACCTTTCTCTTCCCACAGGCCAATGGCCATGTGTCTCAGGACCAAGAGGAACCCGTCTACCTGGAGAGCACAGCCAGAGCACCTGCTGAGGATGAGACCCAGGTGGGGCCTCTGCTCCGGTCCGTGCCTTTGCGTTTGCTCTTTTCTCTGGTGGTGGTAGGCGGTGATTAGGACCCTCTCAGCAGACTCAGACGTGCAGAAGAATCTGTGTGTGATGACAGTCCTACAGTTCTGTTGTCAGGGGTGGGCGCTGTGTTAGCCTTCCAGATTAGCCTTCGAAGCTGTCAGTTGTTAGGGGCAGAGTAGTGAGCTCCCAGTGGAGACTGGGGAGCCTCATGGCCCCTTCGTTCCTAGTCTCTTGATTTCTTGTAAGCTGCCGATGGGCGGGCTCCCGGTGCTGCTGTGCAAATCTTGTTCTTTTCGTCTGCTGCTAGCACGCAGTAGCCATCGTCAGGGGAGGGAGGTCGGAAAATCAGGAGGAAGGATGAGCAGGGGTCAGGCCTCAGCCATGGTAGGCCAGCCAGCGGGTAGCGCCAGCGGGGCCGCGAAGCAGTGGTCAAGGTTGTGTACAGAGGCGTGCTCGCCAGGGAAGTCTGCCCCTTCGACAAGGAAGCAGCGGGGAGAGCAGAGACTGGCACCAGGCTCGCTGGTTTCTTGTGCTAGTTTTTACAGGAACCCGGTGCGGTGGGACTGCTGGGTCTCCTGTATGGAGGGGCAGACAGGCCGAGGCCGGGGAGCAACTGGCTCCATAGTGTTTAGCATCAGTCTGTGGAGGAGTCAGAATCAGGGCCATGTGACTCACACCGCTGCCCCTTCCACTCGTCCCACTGATGGGTTGGTTGGGGGCTGTGGCCGTGCCCGAGCCCAGAACCATGGGTCAGGAAGAGATGTGGCCTCTTTGGCCATGTAGAGCACCATGCCGGCACTCTTCCCGCCTCCGCTCCCGCTCTTCCTGAGGTCAGTCCCCGCGGGCACGGCCTGGTGAGTGCTCCGGGGTCCTTGGAGAGAGAGCTTGGGAGGTGAGAGCTGAGCCCACCAATCCCGCCGTTGCCATTGCAGTCTGTCGACTCAGAGGACGGCTTCGTCCCGGGCCGGCGGGCCTCTCTGTCTGACCTCACCGACCTGGAGGACATTGAAGGTCTGACCGTGCGGCAGCTGAAAGAGATCCTGGCGCGCAACTTCGTCAACTACAAGGGCTGCTGCGAGAAGTGGGAGCTGATGGAGAGGGTGACGCGGCTGTACAAGGACCAGAAGGGGCTCCAGCACCTGGGTGAGGCGCTGTCTGGGGGGCGCTTGCTGTCACTCTGCAGCCTGACGGCATGGCCTGCTGGGTTTCTGTGCGCTTAGCCAAGCAAGGAGTCACCTTCCACCTTGGCACCGGCCAATAAAGGCTGCCATTTGAAGTTGAGTGCCGGGACCGGGCGAGGCTCCGGAAACATTTATTCCGTCCTCAGGGCTGCCTGTGAAATAGCCATTATTAGCACTACCCGCTCCCCCCTTTTTTTTAAGATTTATTTGAGGGGCGAGAGCACGAGCATGAATGTAGGGGGAGGGGCAGAGGGAGAGGGTCTCAAGCGGACTCCGCTGAGTGTGGAGCCCAACTCGGGGCTCGATCCTGAGATCATGGCCTGAGCCGAAACCAAGAGTGAACGCTCAGCTGACTGAGCCACCCAGGCGCCCCTGGCATTACTGTTTTAGTGTAGAGCCTGGGTGTCACTGAAGATTTCCTGGACTGATCCCGTAGCCTTTCCCACCCCGTGTCACCCTGCCATCCCCACTAGTACCTCAGTAGTACTGCTCTCAACAGTTGGGAGACGGGGAAGTGAACCCATGGTACAAGGGAAATAGATCTGTGCTGCCTGAGCCTGGGCTTTCCCTATGGTCCTTTCCCAAAGCATTCTACACAGTATCATTTTTAGGCAATGTCCAATAAGGTAAGTTGTCTAGGTTTGTGGTTAATTGAGTTTGGGGAAGAAAACTAGGTCTTCCTGGTAGATAGTAGAGGTCTCTAGAGAAGTCCTGCAGAAGAGGAGTGTATTTGGCTGTTTTAAACTCATTTCCTAAAATTTTACCCAGAACCTTCCCCTCCCTGACCGATTTAGCTCCTGCAATCAGCATTTTGATTCCTTGCCTGCTCTTAGTGGTTGGAGTCCGATTCCAGGCTCTCCTGTCCCACTGGTTCATCCGAGTTGGGGATGTCTGACCAGTCCTCTAGTCAGACTCACTTCCCTTTGGGGCTGTGCCCAGAATCTCCATAGAGTTGTGAGGTCCTGGGGAACAGGACATGGCCCCACCAGGGCACTCCATCCAGACTCCTTGGCTGACTGGAACAGCCGGTTCTAACACGGGCTTCAGAAGCAATAGAAAAGGGTACCGTGCCCATGCAGTGTCCTGCCTACTTGGCGGTGTTGTTCACGCGAGCCGGCGGAATCCCTTTCTCGAAGACCGGACCAGACACACTGGCTGGGGCTGTGCGCGAGCTCTCAGCATAGGAGGGGAGGGCGGGCGTCCGGCCAGGCTCTCGGCCAGCCAGGTTCCCAGGCCAGGGGAGCAGTCCGAGTGCGGCAGTTAGACGGGCTGGTGGGAGACTTTTTTCACGCCGTCGCATATGCAGACCTCTTCTTTCTCTTTCCTTTTCAGTGTGTGGTGCTGAAGACCAAAACGGTACGTAGTTGCTTCTGCTTGGGACCGTGCTTAGGCTCTGAGCCCTGCGGCCCTTCCCGTCCGCCAACCCTGCTTTCTCTTAGCAGTCTAAGAATTCTAAGCGTAGTGGCGTCCAGAGAGTGAGTTGGGGGAAATGCACGGGGAAGCAGGGCTTCTCAGCATCTTTAAAAATCCTCATTCTTGCCTCACCAGGAAGGGTGAAGAGTGGCAGCAGACCCAGGGACAGCTTGATTTGCATGTCTCGGGGCTGCCAGAGCTCAGGAGTGAGGATTTGTAAAATATTTAGCAAAGTGAGTGGTGGCATGTGTCACATCCGGTTCATTTTTCATACCCCTGCTGCTACGGCACTCCTTCCCCTACGGTTTTCACTCCGTTTTGGTCCGAGTGGGGAGGGTCCCTGTGGACCTTCAGGGAGATCACTTGGGATGCTTGACAACTTCTGGGACCAACCAAAAATAAAGGGAGGTGACCTGAGCCTTGTTTGTACAGGGCTGGGCGGTGGCTAGAGCTGCTCTGGGGACAGAGCAGGAAAGGGGTCACCTGTGTGCTCTCTGGACACGAGGCACATATACCACCTCAGCTGCCACACACCCATCAGTGTGTTCAAGACCACCACGGGGCCTTTTGCTCAGAATGGGGCAGTCTTCCGGCTGATAAATCCTGAAGAGCTGATTTCTTAGCTCCCCAAAACCCTTGTGGGTTCTAGTCCCCCCTCCCCAGTACCAAGATCGGGCTGTTCCACTTGCTGTCTTGCCGCCTTTGTTTTGTTTTAAAGATTTTATTTATTTGAGAGAGAGACTGAGAGAGAGAGAGAGCACATGAGGGGGGGAGGGTCAGAGGGAGAAGCAGACTCCCTGCTGA